CCCCAAAACCCCAAAACCCCAAAACCCCAAAACCCCTCATAATCGCCCAAAGCTGAAAATATATAATTAAAAATGGAGAAATTGAAGGATGGAGGTGTCCAATACCTAAAAAGGGTCATGGATCCACTTAAAAATAAAGTAAAAATCTTCCAAAAGAAGGAATTATTTAATTTCACACTTGAGACACAGACAAATTATGAATATCTGGCCTCTAATTTGGTGGCAGAAGCCTTTGAAGATAACCGAGTCCCTATTGCGATCAGGTGAACTTGGAAGAGAGTAAAAGGGAAGAGAGTCTATAAGATGAATGATATTACTGGAAATACATACCCTCTCTCTGCTGATGATGTGGGGTGTATTATAAGGGTTGAAGCCACCGCAATGGAAGACCATTATGAAGGAACAGTCTATGCAGAATTTGGCCCAGTGACAGTTGAGCCCGCTACTAAAAAGTCATTAGAGTACATCCTAGCTTCTGGATCTTCTCAATTCCCGGTGTCAGTCTATTATCATGGTGATAGAAATAAGCTCCCAGAGGAAAGAGAGGGCGATGAAGGAAAACTCATTGTCTATGTTGATAAGGTTGAACTATACATCAAAAAGAAAAAGACCACAATAGTTAGCCCTAAGGTGGAAGTTAGCCAAGTCGATTCTCAAATGCTCCATTTATGATATTTTGATAAAGACGAAATGTTCCTTGGTGAAAAGGAATTCTCAAATTCACTAGATATTAGAGCATTAACTAGAAAATCAAGAGATTTGATTGTTCTTTCTATCAGATGCTTCTCAGCATTAAATCAGTATAAAAACTCTAAGGTTATATCAATGCTTAATACAGAAGAAGGGAAGGAGAACTACAATAAACTTGAAATAGAGTCAATATCAGATCTTCTAGTAGAGTTAGATTCAGTGCGAAGAGAGCTCTCTGATCAAATTGAGATAAACAAAGCAATCAAGAACGATAAACTAAAGCTTAAACAGGAGTATCAAGACCTTGAAAATGAGATGAACCAGACTATACTTAGCTATCAGGAAGTTCTTGAATCTCAGCAGAATGAAAGCACCGGAGATTCTTTCAGGATTAAAAAACAACTACTAGAACAACAAGACCTAGTGGAAAAGCTTCAGATGGAAAATAGTAAACTCAATGAAAACAACCTTGTACTCACAGACGAAAATACATCTTTGATGAAGAAGATAGAGGCTCATGAAAATGCTATCACCAAGCTAAACAAGAAGATTCATAAATATAAAAACCAGAATGGAATTCCTTCTTCTCAAGTAAAGAAAATAGAGGAGAAAATGCAAAAATACCAGACAGATATCACCGATCTTGAATCAAAAGTGTCAAAATATGAAAGTTCATCCTTCATGGACAAGAAGTCCATCCAGCAGCTAGAAACTGAGAAACTCCAGCTGACCAATTACCTCACGAAGAAAGAGAAGGATGAGGGCAAGTTCATGAAGGCTCTTAAGGAGAAAGATAGTATTATCAAGAAATTAGAGAAGGAAATCACCATCCTGACAGACAGAGTTAAGGAAGCTGCAGAAGTCAACACAGTGCAGGAACAGAATGAAGCCTTGATCACTCAGAAAAACGCATTACTGAAGTTTAAAGAAACCATAGGAAAAGAACTGGAGAAACTTAAGAACGAAAACCAGAAGAAAGATCTCCTATTGCAGGAGAAAGATAGAGAAATTGATAATATCAAGGCTGAAGCAGATCTTGGCATTGAAAGACTTCGAAAAGCAAACCAAAGACTTAGTGAAGAAAATTTAGAGATGGATAACCAGTATATAATGCTACAGAAAGAGCATAAATCACTTAGAAAACATATGACCAGACTGAGCAATTCTGCTATATCTGGTGACCGTAGCAGAGAATAAGTTCACAACCCAGAATCGAAGACTAATAAGTTAAATCCAACATTTCATTAATAATTTCAGAACAAGGGGTTTTGGGGTTTTGGGGTTTTGGGGTTTTGGGGTTTTGGGG